AGTCTATTATGATGCTTAGACCAGGGCAATGTTTGATCTCTCAACCCGTAACTAAAACTGAGAGACCAATGTCAGGCAGTTAAGCGTGTAATCTCTGAATGTGTCTTGTTCCCATCCTAACCCCACCAAAAAACCAAATTCCATTGATGCAGACAGAGCTGGAGTATCTTGGCTGGGGCATATGGCTAAAAAAGGCAGTCTACATATAAAGAGAGAGGCTTCTCTGAAAATGAGAGCAAATCATTGCCAAATATTAAGACAGATAATCTGCAGAGATCAACAGGAGGCATTCTGTCTCACCTGAAATGCTGATAAAACCTGGAAGCCATGGGAGTGAGAGTAGACTGAGAAAAGACAAATGACTTGTTATTTTGCAAATATGTCTAACTTGGGAACTTCTTCTAAAGAGTGAGGACCAATGATAAGGAAAATCCTTTGCTAACCAAGAGGATTTTGTCTTCTCTTTTCCCTCTAAACAGACTAAACTAGAAGCTTGTAGGCCTTGGTAGTTCAGCTCAGGAAGTAATGAATAACTTTATTAATGTCCTACAATTAATGAGTAGTGAAAATAATATGGCAGCAGAAAGTTATGTTGTTGAGGTCCCATTTATCTCCAGATTTGTTTCAACAATAGTTCATTGTGGAGAGATGTTGCCATGAAGACAGCTTTGAAAGTTTCTGTTTGGATCTCTAGTGAAGGCTACATTTGAAGGATGTGAACATGGATGTACCATGTTGCTGGCGACATTCAAACCAGTATCAGGAAAATGTGAGCTGGATTTAGTTTAGCTGGCAAATAATTCTTTCTGTTTCAGAAACTTCTGGGAAAGGATGGCAAAGCCAAGGTACACCTGACTATATATATGAACTATCCTGATGCAAGTGTGGTCAATGACCAGAATGAAGAAAAAGAAGCAGACTGGCTTTTTAGCGAATGTTTATTAAATGACAATGTCTTCAATCTCTACTTAGCTTTACCACTGTGAAATTCTGGTTACCACATTAGCACTTTACTTTTAGGGCAGTACAAACTGAATCTAGGGTTACATGAGTTTTAGAGTGAATAATTTTCCATGTGAAAAGAGCTAGTAAAAATTAACATTCCTGTACTGACCCCAGATGAGGTGAAAAGAGCATGTTTTGGGGAAAGGTTGGAGTATGCCTTGGACATATTGTGAGCAGAAAGGGTAAGTGGGAGATCTGAGACTCAGAACCTGACTTTTTTCACATGTTAGATCTGTTATAATGCTGGAAATCAGCCTAGGACTCCTCTGCTCTTACTTCTGTTGATGCTGGAGTGCCAACAGCAAAAAAGCTGTGACTCCTCCACTCAGGCTTCCACTCCCACTGCCCTGGTGCTTTGCCCCTGGCTATGTGCCGGCATGGGTTCATATTTACTGACTAATACAGGCACACAGAAATTTCCATTGACTAATCTTCTTCTGGCAGGGTGAGTCATCATATGGGAAAGGTTAGTTCTGCTTGTTCTTTGTTTGGATTGAATCCAGTCAGAGCTCCAAAAGGGCCAGGCCAGGACCTTCAACACCTATGACCATCTCTGCTCTCCCACGGTAACGGAAGGAAGCTTTGAGAGATGTCTGTAGCTTCAAGATTTCTAAAGGGAAAGATCTTCCTTGGAAACTACTTTGAAAGGAGCTGGCAAAGCTCCTGGTAAGAACTTAGCCTTTTCTCCATCTGTCAAAACAAGGCATAATCCTTCCCTGCTTCACAACAGTCTTGGGAGGAATCATCAGTTAGCACGTTTACATCACTAAAAGTGATTTCCTATTATAAATCACCTAGGCTTCGGTTCTTATGAACACAAACTCATCTCACCCTTCTTAAAGGTCTTCTCCCTCTTTTCACACATCTACATTCTTCTTTGCACTCTGCTATTGCAAAGTGCAATTGCTGCTAGCATTGCTTTTATACACCTGAGAGCAATTTTAACAATCACACTGTATTTTCCTGAACAATTAAATAATCAGCAAAATAAAATAATCCTTCTTCAATTTCTGCTCTCCTTTTTATCAGTATTGGAAAGTGTTTTCTACCTCATACTGCTGATTACTAAAATTTCTCATCACTGCTCCAACTCCTTGGTGTTGTTATGAAGAAGAATATCTGCATATATTTATAAAGCATTTTTTAGTCCAGTGGTATTTAAGAGAATTAACTGTGATTCAAACTGGAGTTATCTATAAACAGTGGCCTGTATAAATATTTTGTGTTGCCTATGCTTGCATGATGCAAGACCTGTAGCTCCTTCTTCAAAAAGGCAACTTTCTCTGGAACAGAACAGCAGCAGACCAGAAGATCAGGAATGTTTTAAATGTGAAGTGTACTATCCAACTGGAATTGCACAGGGAGCCAAGAGAGCAAAATGCTCAGGAAGCTCCTGCAATCAACTTCATGCCAGAACTGGCAAGATATTTTTAGCTATGACACACTCTTGAAGATTTATTTAGGGTTGTAAGAGGTACCCAAATCTGGGGGTGGTGACCACTTCAGTTATGGTCCTGCCTTGTCATCATCCAAGTTCTCCTCCCACACACAACCTTGCTTGACCTGTGAAACAGCTCCCTCTCTGCCATGATTTCTTTTACTTCTGCTCATCACTGCCTTTCCTACTATAAATGTAAAATATTGGCTTTTCCTCATTTCCCCATTATATAAATCCCTTCTACCTATTTCCCAAGCTCCAAACTACTTGCCTATCCAGGTTTTCTACCAGATGCTGTATGTTAGTGTAAGGAAAACTCCCAGCCTTATATATGGTCAGAGGAACATGAGTTACACCTCATATGGACTTCACAGTGAGGGTATTCAAACCCTTAAACAGAATGCCCAGGGAGGCTGGAATGATCACCTTTGGATATACTCACACCTGACCAGTGCTAAGCAACCTGACCTAACTTTGAAGCTCTGTTTTGAGTGGGTAAAGGATGAGGTTATCACCAGTGATTCCTTTTAATCAAAATAATTTCAGAATTCTAATTAAGTCTTGAAGAAAAAGAGGAAGTGCAAGAACACACAAGAAATTAAGAAAAATATGCTTTTCTGGCAAGAAGCAAAAGGAGTACAACAAAACAAAACAGAGCTGTGCAGTTATCCTGCTTCTCATGCTCACACTGAAGTAACTCAGGATGCAATCAGAGAGATGTTAAAATCTGCAGAGAACCAAGAAGAGAATGAACACCAACGTGTCTGTGGTTAACCAAGGCTTTCTTCATCTGTCTGACCTCAAAGCCTGGTTCGAAATGTGTGTCTTGTCTTCAGAATATTCTCCTCTGGAATATTCCAAGGCACATTTGTTTTATTTGCTGCAGATTCAGAGTAGGAGCATGATACAGGCAGTACCCACCTCCTCAGAGCTTGGGCTGAGCAATCACCCAAGTGCTGCAGCCAGATGTTCACTGGAGATTAACCCTCTTGGGCCCACAGAGGAGTAGGAGCACACCAGAGATGCCCCTGCTCCCTTCATGGCAAGCAGCAGTTCTAGCTCCCTCATCTTATGAACACATAAAAAGTATGGTTTTCAGTCCAGTGTGTGAATACATGAAATGTTCAAGTCAAATCCAGAGCTGTGACAAGTCTTTGCTCTTTTAGGAAATCTCAAATCAAGGTGATAACCTATAAAAGTTTTATAGTACTATTAAAAATCAAGGTGAGAGCAGAGAAACAAAAATATACATATAAACTCTATCACAGTTTTTTTAAGAAGGACTTCCCAAATTCTACAAAACTTAATGCATTAATGATCTGAAATCACAGTCCTCCAACTCATAAACAATTTGAGAAGTCATTGTCCCCAGATCCTTCATTCCAGAGTACAAGTAGTGGAAAAGACCCCAGAAAGAAGAAAATGGTTTTGTGCTCTGGTTTATTTTACTACTGCTGCTGGTTTATTTGGGAGATGCATCACCACTGGATAAATGAGCATTGATACTACCAGCATCTGTTTAATAAATAATGTATTATAAAGTATTGTTCTTCCCCTATCCTCTTAAATAGAACAAGTTCCTGAAATTGAAAGTTCACTAACAAAAGGCACAAACAGAACAAGAAATCTGGCAGCAAAATATTATTTAACAATACAGCTGCAAGAGCAACACCCTGTTGTGCAGCTCAGTAGAAGGGTACTGACAAATACTGAAACATAAAATGCCTGATCCTTAAACTGATTTAATATGATAAGGGTCCTCCAAATCCAGCCATTAAACTAAAAGCCAATACAGGAGCTCAAAAATTATGATAAATGATAATATATCACTCATGGGTGGCCTTGATGTTGAGTCTGGGATGAATTGCATGAACAAAATCACTGGAAATTTTTAATACAAAAAGAAGAAATTTAAAAGGCTACTACAGTGACTTCCATAACAGAGAATGCAACAATTCCTAACACAGCATTAATGTTGCTTGCTTGAAATCTGGGTTAAATTTTCCTATGAGTGTATTTTATAGGATTATAACAGAAATAAAATTATCCTGAAAACTTGAAAGAAAAACGAGTGGCTTAGTAGGTGAATTCTTAAAGCTGAAAAGGACAGAGAGGCTTCCAGGCATGCAAATGTTGCTTTGGATCTTAAATAAAAAAAGAAAACTTCAAACTAAATCCAAGTAAAGAACAATTGTGCTGAGTTAGGACATCTGCTTGGCTTTAAATGTTTATTAATTTCTTTTTTAAAAGCTGTAGACAATGACATAGTAAATAAATCTATAGTAATATATCTCTGCAAATGGATTATTATTTCTGAAGCAGACTTGCAATTAGAAAAGGCTCTAAAGAGCAAAACTTAACCCTGAAAATCTACACAAAATTAAATTGACTTTCCATGCAATTTAAAAACCTATCTGCTTACATTGCTTTAGAAAATATTAATTGGATTCCTGAATCACTTAGATGCTTTAGAAGATTTTACTTTTGCTGAGAAAAGCAATAAATAAGTCAGGATACTGCCAAAGAGTGGATACACGTGGGTCTCTGTTGCTGACACAGACCCAGCTGTGGCTGCAGACCCAGCTGTGTTGGGGCTGGCTACATTTGCCTGAGCAGAGCTGGTAACACGCTTGAAGCTTGAGCTCTGACACAGGCAGCAGCAAGCATTGCTCTGAGGTGGCTCAGTTGTAATAGGTCTTTTAGGCTAGTCCTCCTAATGATGCAAATTCTAAGTTTGTGATTTTTATTTATGGAAACTTTACACTGGAAAGTGTAGGAAAGATTAATTAGAAAGTAATATTCTATTATTGGCTATTGAGGATTTTTAAGCAGTTACTTTTTAAATTATCTACAACAGTTTCCTTGTTTTTAGAATGAGTGCATGATATCATATCCTGAGCCCTTCCCTTTTCTTGTAACTTTCTGAGGCACTAGGAGGAGTCCAGCTACAGTCATCATGTGGATTGGCCTGTAAAACTGTAGTGGAGCTCTTTCTGCCATCTCCTGCCTGCCTAATTCATACTCCTTAAGAAGCTGCTGCTCTAGGACGAACTGCCCTTTAAGCACAGTGAGTATCAGCTGAAAAAGCAACCAATTATCTAGCTTGTAAAGTTGCATCAGAGAATGATCACTGTTCTGTGTATTTACATTTGTGTGCGGTTTGGGACACAAAAGTAAAAGGAAAACTTGCTGTCAGTATTTGACACTGAAGTAAAGTAGAGAAGGCAGTTCCCTGGCCCAGCTGGGGTGAGAAAAGGAACAGTAGCAACATGGGAGGCTCAGGGTGCAGAGATCAGATTAAAGGTGTGGGCTAGGTGTAAAAAAGATACATGTATCGCGCCAGGCAACATACCTATTTGCTGTAGATGGACAGACAGGAAAAAAACAACTTCTAAAATGCATACACAATCAGCTGTGCCCAAGCACGTGGTACTGTATTAATGCTGGATGACAGGCACCTCTTGTTTATTCTTAATGTGGTTTCATATAAGGAATATGTAGTAGTACTAGCTAGTAATAAGAAAAATAAAAGGAGAATAAAACAAATAGTTGTATTCAATAATCCTCAGTCATCCCTAAAGCATGCAGGCCAAGTAAACATTCACAGTGAGTCATTGACTCTTTTTAGTATAACTATAACCTGTGGTGCTGTTACTGCTTCATTTTTCCATCTTGGTCCATAGCTCTGAAATGCAGAGCTAAAGGCTCTGCCACCATTGGTGGAGGGCCTAAGGTTTTGTCTAGATGTCTCTGACATGCTAATTTAGTGGAAACTAGGTAAATATATCAATAATATGATTATGATTTATGATTATATTTAATATATGTATAAGGTAGTATGATCCATGTTTCACAGCATAAAAATGTTATAATGAAAGTAAATAAATTACATGCATTTATATCTACCAAATGAACTTGTAGAACTTATTAATTAATCTAGAAAATTGCTTTTAAAAGGACAGAATTTTCCTGTGTCTGTTGTCCTTGTAGAATACCAAATACGGGCTTCATTCCAAGGTTGTAAAGGACTTAGGACCATGCTTTACATAAAGGCCTCTGCCTAGGATTAGATGGAACCAACAGAAAGGAGCCATGCTATTTTTGTGAATGCTTAAGATAACCGTAACTGTCTTCAAAAATTCCTTGATGATGTGAGCAACTATACAGGAAACACATAACCTTTGCTTACATTGATCACATTACTTTGTGTTTTTAATTTGCCCACTGTGGTTTTGATCAGCTCCTTCATGGAGTCACAGCACAGTGTTAGTAAAAGGCATTGCTTTTTGTTGTCTGCTAAACTGCACTGTGAGGTTAAAAAATTGCTGATGTAGTTAGTCTTATGATAGAACAAAGCTGACATTTTCTATAATGTGGCTATGATAAGAGTAGCAGGATGCTAAAGATGTGCTGTGTGCTGCTCAGCCTCAGCAGCATGGAGATTGCTGCACCAGAGGTGACCATTAGAATACCTCCTCCAGGGTTCTGCCTTCCTGTGACCTGTACCAGGTGCTTCTGATCCAGCTGCAGTCCAGAGACATCAGCTGTCAAATTGGCTTCACAGGTAATGTTTTCACATGCCTACCAATTAGTACTTTTACATCTCTACCAGTTAATTGGCTTGTACTGTGCAACGTGAGGGATTTGTAACTCTTTCATTTAATAGAATATCACAGCAGATGTTCAGGTTTCCATAGAAATGTTTGTTTCTTGAATTCACTGAGATCTTGATCCAACAAAGTTGTGTGGCCGTGAGCTAAGTAAAAATTCTGGTTTAGAAAACCATTACTTCCTTTCTCTGGATTTAAATTGCTGCCATTTATTTCCATTAAATGCAAACTTGCTTATAAATCATGGGAAAAAGTCACCTTAGTATTTCAATTGTATGATCTACTGAAGAATAATGATATATTTTTATTCCTACTTATAGTTTGGCCTATCTACTTTGTGGCAATGATTTTTTTTCAGCTTACAAACTTACTTCAAGGACTTCACTCACAGTTTTAGAATTCTAGAATACATGATGTAGTCAGGCCACTAGGTTGGCTACTTGGCCTAGATAAAGCCACACTGAATATCTCAAATCTCCTCCCTGTCCCACATGTCTTTTCCTGATTTATTACACCCTAGGTATTGAGAGCTCTTGTACTCTATGGGAAATGTCTAGGTCTGCCAGCTCTGTTCTGCTCCTTTTTCCCTGAGGGCAGTTTATTGGGGGGGTCCTTTTGCTACCTCCTTAAAGAGCTGTAATTTTGCTTTACTAGAATTCAGGGGCCTGACTTTACTCTTCATTTAACCCATATCTCTGGGGACTGCAAACTCCAACAGTGTGTGATCACAGCAGCCCAGGCTGCTGCCAATATTGATGTCACCAACTAGCTCACTCATGTTGCTGACCAACAGGTCCTGTAGTTAATTATTTTGTTGTCATGCTTTAGAAATCCAAAGAAAAGAATGAATCAAATGAAAGAGATGTGTATTTTCCGTTATAGAAACGACCTGATTCTGCTTTTGTATCTTGTTTATATACATCTTCAAAAATAAAATTTCCAGCACCTTGCATTAAAGAAATGTTAGGTGCATAGCAAATGTTTAATTAAGTAATCCCACATAGCACTTGTGAGGCAGGCTCCCTCATTTTACAGGTGAGACAGAGAGTGAGGAAGTAAATTGACTTGGTTAATATCACACAGTGAGTCAGTGCTAATGCTCAAAATAGACTTTATGTCTTCTGGTTCTTTTCCCTGTATTTTAATCATCAAAGTAGACTTAACTCTAAAGTTGAATGAACTCCTTAGTCTATTAAAATAATTGTTCTCAATTTCATGTTGGAGTATTATGTTTTAATCACCTAAGCAATACTGAAATATTTACAAAAGTTTTCCTTTGTTAGGACCTTTTTGTCTTGTTCAGATATTACTTCAGGGTATCAGCTCAATTGGTTTTGTTTACAGTGATCCCGAACTTCAAAAATAGAATCTAGCAGATCTCCACCAAAAAAACCAACCAAAACAACAACAACAACAGCACTTTAAAAATACCCTTAAAACTCATTTTTTTTTTATATTCTCATGAGTATAGGGCCGTTCCACTTAATAATACCCATAGCTTTAATTAATGGAGCACACTAAAGTTATTGGCCCACAGAAAGCGAAAGATAGTCTGCTGGTTATGACTGCTGTCATGACTAAATGAAAATGCATCCTGAAGCACAAAAGAGCAACAGCATGTTAAGAAACACGTGCTTAGAAGTGCAGTACTGAACCACATGCTGGGTCATCTCTGAATAAGCTGGTAGAGAAAGAGATCCAATCCTTGCACACCTGTTTAAATGAACAGTTCCCGTGTTCAGGTTAATTAAATGCTCCAGCAGCTTTGGTGCTTTCCTGAGCACAGTCCACAGATTTGTTTTTGCTGATAGGAAATATATAAATTTTTCCAATCCTTGCCATGTTACCTGTTTAATAGTGTTCTTCAGCATAGGATAGAATAAATGGCCCACAGAGTATGTATGTAGGCATAAGACTTAAAAGAGCCTCAGGAAAAAGGAATGAAGAAATAGTATTACCATGGCTTGCTCCTTTTTAAACCTGAGTACAGACACAGCTGTCTGTTACACAGCTTTATACAATACTTTGTATCATACAGTATTTTTAGTGTGGGTGAAACAAGCAGCAAAGGCTGTGGTCAGCTCCAAGATTTTTAGAAGACTTTTGCCACATATAATGAATAGGGCATTGCGGTATAGGCAGCCTTACAACTTAATTGAACTTTAACAACAAAATACCTTAAAGATTCAACTGCTTCATTGCTGAATGCAAATAAAGCTTCTAGGTGGCAGAATCAGTCAGTAAGTATTAGCATGCTATATTTATAGAAACAACTCTAAAGTAATTTAAGGTGTTGTACTTGTAAAGAACATTGTCACATCTTGCCTACTGAATTACAGGCTAGACAGAATGTTTAAGGTAAGATGACAAGGAGAGATGTTCCAAGAAGGACATTTTGCTTCTTTGGGATCAGTACTTCTAGTTTACTATGTAGTTTTCTTTGGGGTTTATCTTTTTCTTAAAAGGTTTACTATGAGCATATCTTGCACTTCGCCACTAGGGCTTATGTCATCAGTGATGAGCTGTCCAAGACCCACTCCAACTTTGCTTTCTGTTTTTGCTAGAGACTAAGAGGTTTTTCTCAGAGACCTCAGAAAATATCCTGATGCCAAGTGATGTGCAGTTTTTAAGACAGCACTGTCCATGTACCACTATCAGGGACAAAGATGCTTCCTTTCAAAGGGTTTTTGAAAAGCAGGCAGGAGTTGTCTGGTACAAATTGGGCAAAGATGACAATTTTGTGACTTTTATAGATTTTGAAACCAAACCCAAGAAAGCAAGGCAAATAACTAATAATTTTTTTAAATTTTTTTTTTTCTTTCTTTTTTGTAGCTCTTCATTTATGTCTCCTTTTATCTGTAGCTCCTATTATTAACCTGTTAAGTGTAATGGTAATAGTGTTTGAGAAGTTGAAAATTTTAATCAAACATTAGACAATATTTGTGATAAACAGGGTTCAAAATTAGATGCCCAAGTGTTCTCTTCCAGATCGGGAATATGAAAAAATCTGTGGTCTGTGTGTCTGATCAAAACTAGCCAAATAGTAATTTAGTAGTAGATGATGTAGAAATTAAATACATGAACATTCAATTAATGGGTAGACATTCCTTTTCATTAACAATTCCTCTAATAAGTATGAAGAATGAGTCATCTTGAGGAAAGCAGAAATTGCTTGTGGATAATTTGAATGAGAATGGGGGATGCATAGTACACAATCACATTTGAGAAGAGTTCTGACAAAATAGAGGCCTTGACTTTTGGATGCAGAGAGTTACACTTGCTTCATCTACTATTAAAGAAAATAGACACAAGCCAGATTCTATGATTAAGTAGATATTATACTTTTTTACAAAATTAACATTATTTAAGATTCTACTTCCAAAGAAGACCTCAGTGTGTCCTACCCACCTTAAGTAATCGGATTATTGGTCACTGCCCTCTGTCAGGTCTATTGCAGCCTTGTTCTGTTGATTCAGCACAGAAGGAAAACATTTTAAGAATGTCAGTTCTTCAAGTAATGGGGATTATAGGCATGGTAACAGTACATGTTTGTGAAAGGTATGTCCTGCCAGACTTCATTCCCTGGGACAGCAAGAGGGAAACTGAGGTACAGCCATAGTGCTACTCTGAAGAGTTCATATAATTAATGTGTTATTCTTTAGATTTGATTCACAGAATTGACAAAGCATTTGTGGTAATATGGTGCTTATACATAAGAGCTGGAAAATGAAAGTGAAAAGTGAAAAGAAGTGTATAATGAGGGAGTTGGCCAGTTTATTTCCCTAGCTATTTCACTAAGCTAGCTATTTGCCTAAGCACAGTGAAAGAGGCAAAGCTATATAATAAAAGTAAAAGAAAAAAAAAATCCAATGAGAGTTACCTTAAACTCTGTTAATTATAAAATATGGTGTTTGTTAGCAATGCAGACAAAGTAGATTTTTTTCTAACAATCCTTATTATGTGTTAACATGGCACCATAAAGGTCCAAGAACCTTGAATCACACAACTTCCAAAATACCCCTAGAACATTTCTTGCTGGAACTAGGTACAGCAAGACAAGTACAAGCTGAATCTATAAATATGGGGAAGACCTTTTCTGTTCAATAAAACAAGTGGTTTCTGCTGAAACTAGTTTTGCTTGAGGACTAATTTGAAGTTACAAGTATCTTTCAGTGCTGACAGCTGAAGGTAGCTCGGGGCCAGACTGTAATAACGTTCACTCCTTGATCTGATGGGCGGATGTGTTTAATTAACCTTTGTTTCTGCAGAAGCAGACATTCTGGCAAGCTGTAGGAATGCTAAAGAAGAGAAAGCTAAACTGCATTGAACCTAGTCATATTCTATATATCTAGTACTAGATATAGAATGTTAATGTAGATAAATACTGTTTCCTAGGAGATAGATAGGTATAAGCAATTTCTGTGAAAGAAATTTAACATGGATCCCCCTGTAGGACTACCTGTCATTAATTTCACAAGATCCAGCTTGTCCTATGTCCCTGGGACACTTGTCTTGTGTCTGACACAGTTCTTCAATAGGTGGTCACAAAAACATGTACTTAAAGTTGAAATATTCTGCTTAGTATCTTTTGGATGGAGTTAGACCTGAGAGCCTCATTGCTTGTTCCATGTCCTCCAGTGACTTCTCCAGATACCAGAGCTTGGACTGACCCTTCCCAGAGCTTCCTGTAAAATGCAGATCTTAAGGTTTATAGCTAATTCTTCAGAAGGCTTATGGAAAGTCTAATGCAAAGCAGATATCCTTTGCATGAAATTGCTGAAGGCTCTGTTTTTTGCTTGAAAAACTAAAGCACTATAGATTACAATCATACAAGCACAGCAAACTCCCTGGACACAATGACCCTAATCTTTCATTAAAAGTCATATTTGTATGAGTATTTTGTAAGAATGCAAATCAGAGCTTATCGTCTCTGACCTTCATCAGCTCTGCTGCCACAATAGCATCATTTCCTCTCTCCTCCCCCTAATAACCAACACCCTCCATTCCTCTCACTTCCTTTCCACCCCAAACCTTTCTATCTGAGAGGCTTTTTAAAGCTCTGATTTGTCATCTGGTTTTGCTACTACTGTGATTTAAATGCCAGACTTCTTCAGTCCTGTTCATCTTAATCTCAGTCAGCCAAGTCTCTGTTTTCACTTAAAAGGCATCTTATGAGGTTGAATGTTGGAAATTCCTTCTACTCCTGTAGTCTAACAAACAAGGTTTATTCCCAGCTGAAGGAAACATTTATGTTGCAGCATTATTCTTACTAAAACTCTGCTGCAGCAATACAATATCAATCACAATCATAAACAGTACTTTTCCCACCTCAGCACTGTGACACAACTCTTTCCTTCATAATACTATGCAAAAATCTCCACATTTTCACAGCATATAAGCGCTAGTGCTAAGGGTGCAGTTGGATTACTAATTTACTAATCCCATGCTTTGTCCACTGGTTTTCTGTTCCAGAATGAAGTGTTGTGACAACAAATGAGGTAACCAAGGAAAAATCAAACTGGCTACGACTATCAGGATTATGAATTCAATATAATTCTTCAACCTGTTCATACTGGTCTCTGTTTGTTTCTAGTAAGGACTGATGACTCCAAAAGCCACAAACTGCATATGAAGTTCTTGGGTGATGACAATTTCCTTTGTAATATTGCCCAGTGTCTGAGACTATCCTGATAGGGTTGTGTAGCCCTGTTGTGAGTAGTGTCCAATTGCAAAGAGAAGGTTTGCACAAAGACTGAGGATGGAATAAGAGTCTTTATGTCCAGAGATGAACAGTGATCTCCAAAAGCTCTTAACACTGACCTAACTCAGAACACAGTCAGTGGATACAGATGAATTTTGGAGATTCTTGACCAGCATGGTGCAAAATGCAGCCCTCTGGTCCAATCTGGTCTGCAGGATTATCTGTCTTTTCTGAAACACCTCTTCTATGGGAATTCCAATTAACAAACTGCTGCTTCCTCCCAAAGAGAGGGAAAGGAGTATTATTCTCATGATGAGCTGCTGCCTCATCCCAAAGAGAAGGAAATGTGGGCAGGGATATACCCTGATACAGAGCAGTTGTTGCTGTGCTTCTGTCTGAATGATTTTGAGTTCTTGGACATATGAAAGAAACACTCCTGGGGATAGCCTGGTACCTTAACTTTTTGCTGAACAGGTAAGAACAGCAGCACCTCTCCACCACTGCTGTTCTCATTTGCTACTTGTTGGGGGGTGGGGAGGAGGGATGGGACACAGAGTAGGGAGCAAGGGACAGTAATTTTCCCCTGCAGCCTGTTGCTCCACCCAGCCTTCCCCTCTAGCCTGATTCACTGCCCAAGTATGACAGTGTGAATGGCAGGAGGTATGAACTGCTATTGATTGTCATCTCAGTCAAGCTAACAGGGTACCTCTCCAGATTTTGATCAATTAGATTTTTCCTCTTTGGAAGTAGTATAAACTTATTTCTTTTGTTATCATGTCTGCTAATAGCAGGGGATTTTTCTGAAGGTAATCTTGGAACACACCGGCAGCTCCAGGCACTCTGTAAGAAGCCAAATACAAGGGAAGGGTGGAGTGAAGTTGCTTTTTGATAATAGGAATAGTCTACAAGAAAGTTTCCTTATCTCTCTTAAATGCTTGTTTTTCAGAAAGTAACTGTGATGAAAAGGCAGCATCTATTCTTCTCTGAATGTAAAATCTTTTCTGATAAGATTTCTGGAAGAGCTATGTTCATTCAAATACTTCCTAAAATGCATTTCTTCCATAACGTGTTTCTATGCTAATCCACTAGGCGTTGCTATTTACATCTTTAAAAGAAACAGAGTACTTAATCTGGACAGATTGTAGATTAAGAATGACTAAATTCATTCTTGCATGCAGGTCCCATGGGAAAGCATAGTCTCTGGAAAGAATCTATTGCCTCCTGGCAGTAGTTCTTTATATTGTGGTTTTATTACTTATTGTTGATTATAATCTCCACAAGGAAGGGGCATTTGTCTTTAAGCATCATTTATACCTTTTAAGGCATCATTTATGTCTGTAACTTTCTGAAATCACAGAATCACAGAATATTCTGGGTTGGAAGGGACCCATAAGGATCACTGAGTCCAACTTTTAAGTGAATGGCCCATATGGCATTCATACCAACAACCTTGTTGTTATTAGCACCATACTTTGACCAGCTGAGTTAATAGTGAAGGTCAAGAAGGAAGCAAGAAGTAAATTTAAAATACAAATCAGCTCCATGTTGAATAGCTGTCAAATTCTACTCTGCCATCTCAGTGTATATCCAGATTGGTGCTGAAGTCACTGGAATGGAATATGATCATAGCTCTTGAAACAGAGAGGACTGAAGGGGAGAGGAAGCCAGTAATACTGCAGCTAATACATTAATTCCTAGTATCTTAGACTATGCAAACATTAAATAGGGCTTAGTCTGCAGTACAAGCTGAGTCTGTGCTATCTTATGTTATAGGCTGCTAATACATAGCAGAAGTGCACATCTGCTATATAACAGTGTAAGAAGGTTCCCAAGCCAGGCAGTATTCTAGTGAAGTCACAACTGCATGAAATTACATTTGGTCACGTATTTAGGCTAGTATTTATTTGGACTTGCATTAAATTCTAGCTCTACAATAGCATTTTTTTCAGTGAAAACTTTGGGAAACCTCTGTGATTTACTCTGTGAAAAATTGGATGGAGAGACTATTTCCTCTGAGTCATCACTGGGAAAAATGCATTATTACAGAGGTGAAACATGTAATTGTGACAGCTAGAATTGAAAGAAAATAACTACAACTGTAGGTATTTTGAACATAGTCAATTTTTTCTAGGTATATTGAACATACCCAAATCTGCTGATACAGCATATTTCAAACACAAAGGTGTCAAAGCTATTGCTTTCCAAAATTGCAATTAATCTATATATCCAAAATTTTACATTTCTATAACAATTATCATAACAAAGTTAATTACAGATTGGTCCTTCACAACCAAAATACTCACTACTAGATAAAACATGATGGTTATTTATACAACAGAGGAGAAGAAAGAAATAAGATTACTGCATCCACCAGAAATGTCTGAACCCTCTGTTTTTTAGCATTGTGTGGATATCTGTCTGCTCTGTATTCTGGCAAGGAGGCCCTGCCAGAAAAGGCATAGGATGTTGTAGAGGTAGCAAGCTTGGAGCCAGGAAGGAAGGCAATACTTCCTGGCACTCGTTAGCAATCACAGAGGAAGGAGAGCATCCTGCCTAGTCATGCTAAATCAGCTAAAGAGTCCCTACCAACACAGCAAATCCCTTACCCATCCTTGTTGAAGCCAAAGGATATTCTGATTTCGTTAGGAAAAAGAAGCCGTGATTTTGGATGTGACTGTGCAAAGTACCATTAAACTTTACTCTTCTACACTGTGACTTTCTAATTTGCTCAAGAGAGCTATGAAATGAAGAACCTGAGGGCTTACCTGTCTTTGTCTCCCTTTATCAAGCACACTAGGTCAGTTTTCACCTTTTTGTGCTATGCCTTGGCTTAAATATTTATGCCATGTCCCATTTAAATTCTCAGCTGAGAACTTTCTTTCAGCAGCACAACTAGTGCACACCATTTTGTAAGATTCAAATATATTTAGTGTGACTACGTAGCAGAGTTTGAATAACAATGGTTTGTCTTTATACACAGAACTTCCATATCCATTAAGCCAAGGTGAGTCCTCAGACTTCAGCCTCTGGCACTATTGTGCCCTAATAGTCCTTCACTTCTTTTCTAGCAATTGCCAGTTCCACAGGCAGTTTTTGTTATATTGATGTTTCAAGAACCCACCACAGTTAATTACACAGTTTGTTTTAACTGTTTAGAAGTGGATTTGATTCTCTTTTTAGACAATTGGTCAGAAATGACAGATTTCTTTTAAATGGCAGGAATATTTTAAATGGCAGATTTAAAGCTGTCAAGCTCATGAGGTGATTCCACAAAAAAATTATTGTTAGCAATATTAAATTCCAAAAATTCTCGTAAAACATTTGTTAAATAATATAAATTAAAATTGGTATGTTCTCAAACCAGTGTAAATAGCAAGTTATATAGACTAGAATACACTTTAAAAAACCAACTAACACATAAAAAAACCCCCAAAAAATCCACAACAGAAACCTTAGGAAGAACAGACACAGAAGAAAGGTGATAGTAGGCTAAATTCTCAGACTATGTTTCATAACTATTACTGTTACCATTTTTCAAGGACTTTCAAGCCAGTTCTGATATTTTGTCCCTTTGAGTTTGTAACTTTGACTATTACATTCTCAACTGTCATGTTCTTATCTAAACTATCCCTCTTAAAAGTTTCTATCTCCACATTATTTCTGATCAGATTTGAATCAGCAAAGCAGAACATTTCCTGTCCTTGGTGGAATGAATCCACACTGGATATGAGGAGACGGTGTCAGCACTAACAGGATGCAGACCAGGAAGCACTGCATTTCATTAACAGGAACTAGAACAAGAGTGGCAAAGTTTTGGCAGAATTAGAATGAAATGGCTGTACATGGAACAGAATAAGAGCTGGAACTAAAACATTTTTTATATAACTGAAACAAGGCTGCCAGCAGACTGGTTTGGTAGATTTGGAAAACATCAGGAGCATATGACAGAAAGGTTCAGCTCAAAACCTAGGGTTTGAATGAGAGCTCTGGCTGCCCAAATAACTGGAGCTGTGTCTCCAGCAGGCTGGAAAAGTCTGCTTTAGTGAGTTGAGAATACAAATGAGTTATGTCCTGGAGCAACAAGCCATTGACACTCTCCTGAAAATGAATAGTCAAAAGTTTGGAATTAATATTGGTCAATAAGAATAAAAACTGACTCAAAATCTGCTGGAACACAAAGTATGCTTCTCAGAGAGCTAAAAGTGCACATGGACCAAAATATAAATAGGAAATAGCTCTGTGGTATGGATCTAAAATGAGATCAGGAGTAGCCACAAGTGTTGTGCCTTCTAATGTATCGTAGCTCTGCTGCTCAGCACTTTCTAATCTGGACTAGCAAATTTTCACACCTCTTCTAGCAGCATGTTTAGAGTCTCTCTATGATCCAAACCTCTGACACATTTTTGAAATTTGCTAGATGGAGAAGGAATGTACATCTTAAAAAGATGACAAATGTTTTATTGGTCAGCTTTTAAGTCTTTTCTTCCTGTTAATAATGCCTATATACTGAAAGAAGTCTCTAAAGGGATAGGTGAGCATGCTCCTGCATTAGCTGTCTGGAAAAGCACAAAAAGTCTTGTCTTTTGTAGCCAAAAGAAACTTATTTTAGCTTGAGGGATATGGAAAACATCTTTTTAGAGAAGTAAATTTTACAGCCTTTTTTCATGGTTGATTGTGACCTTGAGATCTGTAAAAACAGGCAGTATCCTCCCTTAAGACAGCTGCATTCATAACAACTAACATGGTAAGAGGGCAGTCCTTTTTAATAAAAGCCTTTAGAAGGAAGAAGGTGAAAGTTGCTGATGAAATTGATGCTGTAGATGTGGCCACCAAGGACCAATCATGGCAGTCACATCTTGTTTTTACATTTATGACTTTTGGGAACTGACAAGAAAGATTATTTTTTATTTATACCCATTTCTCAGAAGTAGACCTGATAATTATCAGGTAATTCACCTGTGTCATGCAACAGCCATGTCAAAAGCCAACAGTTGAACTACATGTCATAAGGATTTTGTGTGTGGAGTCATCTCATGAGGACAGCTTTAAAGCAAGAAAATTCTGGGGATGAGACAAGAGTATTTCCCACACTGTCATCAAGCTGTTAAAAAAACATCTCATTTTCTTTTAACTAGAATAGACTCCTGTATCTGAGGTCTCCTAAGGCCCTCTGGAATCATATGACGATGATTTCTAACTTTTAATGCTGATAATCAATTCTTCTAACACAGGTAAACATCCTAAGTGAATCTTTTACTTCTATTTGCAAAATAGTTCCCCATCAGAAGTTTTGATTTTTTTTCATGCTGCAATCTTTAACTGCTTCTACTTTTTAATTGCCTTGTTTGCATGACAAGAACTAAGAAATGAAATTTCCATCAGAGATGTAGAACCTTAATGGCAGAAAATCTAGTATGGCTCAGTGAAAAGGAAAACTTTAGTAAAATCACAGCAGTCTCTAGGCAAGAAATTATAAGAATTGTAAAGATGAGCTCAATTTAATAAAGTATTAAAAATGAGTCCTGAAGTTTAAGAAAATTTTAACTGCAAGCAGAATAGTTCTGCAACTCTTTCTGCCATGATTCAGACTATATTTAGAAATGGTAGCTTAGACCTATCTCCATTAATATACAACAAAGCAAGAAAGTGCAAATCTAAGCTAAGTGGAAAAGGAATTGAGTTTTATCAGGTTTTCCTGAATTGAAAGTTTCTCGAGTTATCCCAAGAAAACCCTTGGAGAGGTATAAGAAAAGCCACAAGGAAACTGTTTCTGAGCTAAGAAGTCAAAGAAGCCCAGCTGATCTGAACAAAGGATTCTTTGCATGCTAAAGAGAAGGATTCAGCAGGTGGTCACATTGCTTAGGCTCTGTGAAAGGAAGCTGAAAAGGCAGAACTACATCAAGCTCAATCTAGCATGGACGTGACATGACTGTTGCATTTTGCATGACATGATAGATATCTGCAGCCACAATGGCCAAATCCATGGCACTTTCCAAAGAGCATGAAGGACTGCTTTTTTTTGGAAAGAACTGAAGGAAGATTACACGTTAATTTTGTTGCATTTTGCACTGCTTCCAGAGAATGGAAATACAGGATTATGGGCCACCTCTCCACATTATGTGACTATTTCTCTAGTGATTAAATCTGTATCAATTGATATTAAGCATTTTGCAGATATTTTCACAGACAGAAATTTGTACAGAAGAAAAAAGGCAGGGGAAAAGCAGGCCTTGTACATCTTCTGACCTGGTTATTATTCCATTTAAAATATTAGTGAACTATTGTATAGAAAATGGAAAGCCTAAAAAAATGACAAGAGTTATAAAGGGAATAACTAGTTATGTGAGCCAGATCAAACCAATTCATTTTCTGCTACTGAAAATCTGATCAGGAAATATAGGCTAAAGGTCTATTGTTGCCCTTCAGGAAATCCCGCTTTAAGATGAAATTCATGCCTGAGTGCAGCAAAGCAATTTTGAAAAGTCAAAGTTTGATTTATTGTTCTCTGAAAGGTTGTGTAAAGCTTCTTACTAAAGATCTCAAAGTTACATAAAGGTGTTTTGTATGATTAAAGGTAATCATAGTTCTCAAGGACTTTTGGAAGATGCAGACATGGGTTTATTTTTTACTGTAAATTCTAGGTTTTCATTCTGAATAGATGAAACTTCTTACATTAATTTGTTCAGCATTTGCATTACAAACACCCTGATTCAGCAGTTGTACAGGTGCAGATTTGCAGTAAATGCACATACATAATACACAGATTCTGGTCTCATCTGTTAAAATGTTAAAACAAGAAAATAAAATTTGACACAGCCAAGATATGACACTATTCAATAAATGGTATTTTATCAAAAAATGTCCGAAGAAGCCATTCTTTGGCCATTCTGTTCTAGGCAAATCTCTAACACAACTTGCAAGGTCTTAAAACACAGTTCTGCAAAGGAAGGGAAAAGCCAGACTAAATTAAAGGAAATATTCACTGTTTCCCAGTAAACAGCTTCTTTTAGGGTGCAAAATGAGATAAATTTGGGATTTCAACTATTTATTTTGAGATTAGCCAAGGTAGAAGTGTGGCTGGATTTGCTTGTGACTACATAATGCAGTTCTCTTGTGCTACAAATCCAGTGTAGCTTCAATGAATTTTGGGCACATGCAGTATTTCTGGCCTTTAAACACTATTTTAGTTGGGCACAATCACAACTTTTAAATTAGAAATGTATATATACCCACATAGATATGCATCTCTCTCTCCCCTCACATATTCCTTTATATTTCCCCTTTACTTGCTCACATTACCCACAGTACCTGAAGTCTGAACTCAGAACTTCCTGGCTCTTGGAAATTTTTTAGTCTTCATTTTACTGCAGTGCTCTTGTTTTATTTTTTATAATATTCCAGGAATACATCATAATGAAATAACAAAACTTGAGGAATGAAGCTTATGTCATGGTTGTGAACTGAGAGAGTCCTGTGCTTATATTTTGGCCAAGGTACATTACTTTTGTAGACTGAGGACCCCACAAACCAGCACAGCTCCTCCCAAGCTTTTCCAAAGGAATAAGAGATTTACTGTAAATTGCATCAGAAGACAGAATGTAGTGGGGTTTTTTTATTATTATTTACAATGTATTTATTAATGAGTTAGCAGATTGAATATTGATTAAACCTTTCAATATATCAAATCACAATTTGCTACGAGTGACATAATTAGCTTCTAGCAGATTGGCTTTTCTAAAAAGTTAATCTCTAACTTTTCTGACAGATCCTAAGTATTACTGCTCACTGAAAAGATAAAAAGCAATTCAAAAGCCCAAATGCTACAAGATACAATGCACACTTATGTTGAAATAGCTTTCCTTAATCCTCTAATGTAAAGCATATTGTACTCTTATTGATTTAACACTGAAAAAAGGAGGAACTCTTTGTAGACTATATTAGTAGACTTTGGAGACTGTAGACTTATCAACCACAAGCAACATGTCTTTTCTAGACAAGAATGCTGTGTAAACTAACATATGAACATGCAGCTCAGTAGTGAAAATCTCTCCTCAAATGCAGCAATATTAGCATATGACTGTATTATGTGCTTAAAAAGCTCTCTAATTGAGGACAATGTAATGCCATAACAATATGATATTTAAATTAATGTATTCATAGGCACACAAACTTCCTCATAAACTTCACTGGTGGAATAAGTTCCTACAGGTTTACTACCCACTTTACCCACTTTTTTAAGGCTTTCACCTCCATATTTAAATACAAGAACTAACAAGCAGTGAAGTGTTATATGGTGTAAATTTAGGGATTAGTATCTGTAGCCAAGTGCAGCTGAAGAGGAATTTTTGTAGACAAAATTTGTAGCCACTCATTTCACCATCCAAAACACTTCATACAGAACTTCCAGAAGAGCTTTTCCATTCAGTTCCCATTTGGGCCTTCTTTAATTAGACATTTCCTAGCACAATAGTGCAAAGTTACGTTGTGGGTGCAAAAAAAGTCTGGTATTTTTTAGCTGAGTCGTGTCAGAGTTTATTCTAGAAGGAGCACCATTCTTGAATATGTAAAATAGTCATAACAAAAACTGTGTTACAAAATTCAGTTGCCAGGATCTCTCTGCTAAGTGGTGAGGTGCTTTAGAAAAAACCAAAAAATCTACTGCCATTTAAAAGGTGAAGGGGCATCAGAGCTTCCAAACATTTGCAAAAGATGTTGTGCATAAACATGGAAAAGGGAAAACTGCATTTATGGTAATGAAGATAGTAGACTAAAAATTAAGGGCTTTCATGGTCGGAATATATTTACATAAAAAAATTATCTGGTTTAATTTTCAGAAGGACATTTTAACCTCATTCTAAGTCACATCAACTTAATTAGAGATTGTAGATAGAAGTAAGTACTTGAAAATAATATAATTTTAATTGAAGAATCCTTTTCTTTCTGAAATATTGCTCCCACACTGCTAGAATGCTGGCTGCTATAAAAGCCAATAATTTTCATTATTAATATAATATAGTTGTCAATAATTTAATCTGGAAATTTTGATTTAAAAATAAGGGGGAGAAGACCTGTTAGCATGAATTTTTTTTCAAGTATGCTCACATCACCTTCCAACAGCAGCTGTTCAACAAAGTATCACTGTTAAACTCAGGGAGGTAAATCCTCAACTGTGTTAGCTGCTTATTATTCTGAAAAAAATCTCCTGCCTTATCTCTTTGTAATAATTCATGTTTTTACCAAATTGGCTTCAATGTGATCTGTAAGACACTAAGGCACACTTTCTACCCTACATTTAACAGGTAAAGCTTTACTTAATGTATCTGCTTCAGCAGTACACATCAGGAAACATGGGCCAGCTGGAGGGAGTGCAAATGGGAAGGAAAGTGACTGGCAATTAGGAAACATGAACTACAAAAAAACAACTGCAAAATCAGGTGTTATTTGAAAGAGGCAAAGAACTGTCAAGAGTGAAAAAGTAACTATTTTTGAATATTTATCATTCAGGTGCAAAAAAAGGAAAAAAAAGATTCATGGCTATGTGCAGTATGCAACTAATTAATATGTTTAATCTGCAGAAAGTGCCAGTTAAGGTAAATGTTGTTGGGTCTTTTCTTATGATAAAGTAGTCCAGTACTTCAAACAAACTGCTATGATAATACCACAATCTTAACTACATTTTAAAAATGGGCATGCCAAAAATTATATATGTGTAACTGATCTTGGCTTTGGGCCATGGAATGACCTCTTCTAACTCTTTGTAAACCCTTTATTTTCTTTTGATTCTTGGCTATCAAGTTATTTAAAATAAACTTAGCTCCTTCTGTAAAAGTTCCAAGATCAGGCCCTAAATCTGTCATGGTGTTGATAATCATGACGATCAGAAGTGTAACACTTGTAAAACTGGAATGTGAAATCCCTTACCTCACAAAATGTCAGTGAGAATCTCCTTAAAAATGACCTTGTGATATGATCCTGACAAATCCCAGCTGTATCTGAAATGGAAAGGTTATTTGACAGTAAACTTTATTTTAGTGTGGTGACTTCCGGCTGTTTGTAACAAAAATAAAGTGAATGGTACAGTCAAAACACCATAATCTCCTACAAGACCAAAACCAGAGTCATATTTCATTTACTATTGCTTGTTTCAGATATTTTTTAGTTTATTGCTTTATGGTTTTAGAATGCTGAAGTTCATAAATCATGGTGAGGTCAGCTGCATTCTCTTAAGTATACAAATAATAAAATGTAAATGTAAAATGTACTTCTTGTTAGGCTGTCCATGCCCAAATAGAAAATCATCTTTGACTACATTCTTTTTCATTTGGAACAAGCTCTGTTTGAGCGCACATTATGCTCATCTACCTCTTCTTACAAGTTATCTGAGCCTAGACAAACTCTGGCAGCTCAACTCTGCACATACAAAAAACTGTATTTTGGGAACAAAGGGACATCACAGCATTCTAGATAATACAGTGTGGGGGTGGTGTTTCTGTTCCCCAAGCATTCCTCTGTTTCCCCTATGAACACTATCAAAGAATAACCAGGTGTGCAAATGGTGTAGGAAAAGAGCTAAATATTTGGGATTTACATTTTTCCCATCACAAACTTCAGCTAATTTCTATTTATAACTGCTCAGAAGGGAAGCATGAGTCCTAATCTTTGCAAAGAAAAAATATTTACTGTTCAGTCATCCCACCACACTTACTGTTGTTTATGACTCTGGCAGTGACACACGGTGCCCTGTTACATTCTTAGTGGGTTAGAAACTAAATATATGCATAAAAAATACTGTCCCCATAGCTAGGAATTTTCAGTTTAAAATACATTATGGCAGGATAAAGCAACAGCTGGAGAAAATTTTTTCCACCTCTACTGGAATTTTACTTGTTTAGAAAGTGAAAGCACATAGAATAAAATAAATGTAATAGAAATGACAATGAAAAGGAATTTTCTCCCCTAAATTGTTCTATAGAATTCTTTTCCTAAAGTACTGAAGCAAAAAATATATCTGTAACCATGGAGATTATACCAGGCAACATGCATAATAATTCAAAATGTGGCATCACACAAATGTTCTTTGTCATGAGTGGATTACTACAAAGAGGTAGGTTTCCCCTAAGCAATTTTCAGAAGCAAGGTAGATGGGGTTCATTTTTTGACCCTCTTTTTTTTTGCAAAGGGAAGGGGGAAGTGTCAGCACTGTGGTATGTGCAGGAGAGAATTGTATTGCATTCAGTTTGAAAAGATTCAGCTTCCCAGGTTCCTGTCAGTTTTTAATCGTAGATACAATTTGCTGGAAATGTTTAGCTTCTGTGAATCCGCACATCAGAGAACAAATCTACCACAATGCCTGCGTGGCATGAAGGATGGCCATGGAGACCCAGTTACAGGATAAATAGTAAACAGTGCTAATTAATTTTTGCTTGGGTCTTCTTGGGCTTGTTCATTCATTTTTAGGACCATATACAAATGTACAAAATCTATATTAGAAACCATTCCTGTTTAATACTAGAAATACCACAAATTTGCTAATTTAAGTGTTAGCGGAAAACAGGATCCTTTCACATTTGGCAATATTTTTTTCTCTGCTTATTCTTTCTCTGCGTGGATGGCATCAAACAGCAAATAGCTCTCAATCTGCCAGCTTCTAGCGCAGGATGAATATTGATGCAGTTCTGATACAATATATAAGGCAGAAGGAAAGAATTTCTGTAATCAGGACCTTTCATATTACCTTAATTTAATAATTTCACTTTTCTTCAGAAGGAGTTAACTAAAATCAGGTGGTTTGCAGTTTGAGTTAGGAAGAGAAACTGATGATGATGTAAGGATGATGTAAATCCTGTTTACTTACAAACAGTACAGAAAATGTTGTTTCCTTGAAAAGAGGAAAAATTCAGAAGATACTTCCTTTTTATGCAGTCCTGAAGTACTCAGCTGTTTCTCAGAGCCACATAACCACTTTTTTTTTTTCTTTTTTCTGCTACAACTTCTTTTTTCCAATTCCTGGCATTTTTTCCCAGCTCTGAAATTACAGATTTTAGAAATCTCTTTCAAATTCCTCCTCCATGTTTTTTAGCTTTGGCAATAGGCCATTGTTTTACCTATCACTTTTTCAAGGATGAATTTTTTTTTTTGCATTTATTTTAAGTGACAGGCCTTTTTTGTGCTCTCCAACTTGAAAATGCAATTTCATCCACCCATCAGTGGATAGAGCTAAAACGTAATTAATTCTTTCCCTTCCTCTTCTGCAGGAGGCCACATAGAAGCCCAGTGTGAAAGCAGGAGTTAACACAGTTCCTTAAGGTATTACTTCTGTCCCAGAGGAGCTGAACCCCCAGAGATCAGTGGTAATCATAATTTCCATTGTTTCCCAAAGTGGGTGTTGTCATACAAAGCATGTTTTTCCAGAAGGAATAATTTTACCCAACATATTCACTCTTAAATTTAGTGAGTGGAATTCAAATAGGTCAACCTTGAAGCCTAGAAAAATTAAGCAAATTAAAGCAATGAGAAAAGGTATGTTTTCTTTTGTAACTGAAGATAGCTGTGCCTGACCGTATGATTAGTAACACTCAGCACTCCCAGCCCTTATGAGTCAAATCAGGGACATTTCCATTCCTTTGCATTCTAACTTAATTTCTGCATCCATTGGTAGAATTTGCACTAAAATACGTGATGTATCTAAGACAGAGCCCTTCCTAACTCCTCCTCTTTCCCCTGCGCTCAGCGCTGATGAGGCCGCACCTCAAATGCTGTGTCCCGTTCTGTCCCGCAGTGCAGGAAGGACACCGAGGTGCTGGAGTGAATCCAGAGAAAGGCAACGAAGCTGGTGAAAGGTCTGGAGTACAGGCACTATGAGGAGCGGCTGAGGGAGCTGGGGATATTTAGCCTGGAGAAAAGGAGGCTCGGGAGAGACCTTCTCGCTCTCTACAACTCTCTGACAGGAGGCTGTAAGGCAAGTGGGGATCGGGCTCTTCTCCCAAGCAGCCAGGGAGAGGATGAAAGGGCACAGCCTCAAATGCGCCAGGTGAGGTTTGGGTGGGACATCAAGAGGAAATTCTTTACACAAAGGGTGATTAGACAGTGGAATGGGCTCCCCAGGGAGGTGGTGAACTCACCATCTCTGGACGTGTTTAAGAAAAGACTGAATGTGGTACTCAGTGCCATGGTCCAATTGATATAGTGGTGTTTAGTCATAGATTGGACTCGGTAATCCCAGAGGTCTTTTCCAGCTTAAATGATTCTGTGATTCTTTTGGGTCACACCGAGCCGGCGGGACTCGGGGGCACGGACTGGGGCTCGGTGTGACCCAAAAGAATCACAGCTGATTCCCCGTGGGCTGAGGCGGGCAGTCTCTTCCCGTGCTCTCGGTTGCTGCGTTGGCGGGACCGGCCCCTCACGCGGCAGGGGCCGCCCGTCACGGCCCTCCCGCCGGCCCCGCCCCGCCCCAAAGCTGATTGGTTCGTGATCACCATGTGACCATCGG